TGAGACATATAATTTGTAATAATAAGTAAATAGTACTATCAAGAGCCAAAAAACTCACTGCCATAACTACTTTAAATTTTTTAAGGGGTTATTATCAACAGAAAATTTTAAATTTTTACGCTTAGACTATTTTTGCCTTTTTTTAGTAACATTATTTTTTAAATTTAATTTCTAACAAATAATTCCTATAAATTTTTTTGTGAAACGAATAAATTTGGAGTTACTTTCGATTTATTCACTATATTGAAGGCTTATCTTAGATTTAATCGATCGTTTTTTGAATAAAGTCGAAGATTTCTTTTCAGAAACTACGACCGAAATTAAGTGCACTTATCCAACTTCCAAAATATTCAAAGGCCTTGAAATTCTGGAGTTCTTTAGACCCGATATCTCACAGCATGTCCGACAATGATTGACATGATTATGTCACCAATGCTTACAATTATTAAATAAATATCATTTTTAAGTTCAGCATTGTAGCTCGCAAACGAAAATGTATCACCAGGTAAAGTTGTGTATCGCCCTCTGTGTAAGAAATAAAAGTTGATAAAAGTATTACCGTAGAATTTTAAAAATTTTTGAGCAACAGCAAGTGGCATATCTTTAAAAAAAAATTAAAACCCCTACTCTAATACATTTTTTGAATAACTAATGTTAACGTCATATTTGTATGAACAAAAAATAATTACATTTTTTTCTTAGAAACAGGAGATCATCTAATACAGTTATCCAATTTTTAGATTTAATAGCATCGAAATTTTATCACTGGAACTCTCAGTGACAGCGTCCCCTATTATATCCGCCGCCACTGGTTGAGGGATACAGCATAGTTAGTTTATTTAAGACGAATTGTAAAGAACGACATTACAAATATTGCCCACGCCCGTTTTTCAAAATAGCTATAATGCTTTCTAATCTCTATGAACTTTGCCTTTAGAGGATATCAAAATGATGATTCAAAACGTCTTTATTTTGAGAACTGACCCACTGACCGGATGTGCCATATATTTAATTATACATACCATTCGTGTCACTATATCCTTTGTTCAAAACCGAACGCCGATAAGATTTATGCAATTCAAATCTAAATACGTGCCAGCATATACATAAGTGTGTATCTGTGTACCCTACTGCAACGCAGTTGATAAGGTACCTTACACTTTGTTTTTAAAAACAAAGACCGCAAACATTGCTGGTTTATGATGAATCAGGTACAGTTGTAGATCATTTAAAGCTCATTAAAAACCGATATTGTGGGCAAATCGTCTCCTTACTCGTTAGCATTCAAAGATGCTGATATTCGGCTAACATCCTCCGACAGAAATGGTGCACATAATCTGAATTAGTTCAGTGTTTTGAATAACAGGCGTTTATCGTTGGTGCGTTGGTAAATATTTTTATTCGACGAAGTACGATTGTATTTGTGTCAGTGAAAGAACAGGTTGTACTTTTCGTAATTTGTTAAAACCGCTCGTGAGTATGGTCTTGAGAATTTATAATACGTAAATAATGGAATAAAAAATTATAAAGAAATTGATGTACCTACCTAATGATAACGGATACAAAATTCAACTAGTTACTGTGTATTCTTATGTGCTAATGTTAATAGTTAATACAACTAAGCAAATATTTTGTAGGTGACCTTACAACCGAAGCTTTTATTTTATCTTAAAGGTAAGGGATTATTTCAAGTTTTTTCTCTCTTGTATTTTTTTGCATACTTAACGGTTTTCAGGTAATAATTACTTTATTAGCTATCAGCCATGCATTTTTCATACCAATTTGATTTAATAATCATAAAAAAATTGCTTTATTTGGTAATAAAACTTTTACTGAAATATTCTTTCAACAGCTGGAAATAATCATCAATAACACATAATTCAGTTAAAAAAAAAGTACAAATAAAAATTGCACTCATATTTCCCCCATCCTGTAAATTGTAATTAATTATCAAATTTGAATATAATATATGTAATTTTTCTCACATAAATTAGAAGAATACCTAAAATTAATGCTACTCATTTTCCTTACTGAATTATGTGAAAATGACAACTGGACTTTCAATTGAGCCCTGAAATGTACTAAGTAATCCAAAAGAGGGAGCACTTGGTATAGAATGAGATTGCCACTGCTCATCCTATCCTCAATGCTTGAATTAATTTCTCTACCGTATCGTTTTCGTGTCAAACAAATCAAAATTTCGATAACAATTAAATCAGGTGTGTATTGAAAGTTTTTTGGCGACAATTAATTAAAAAATTAATTACCCGAAAATCGTTAGACACAAAAAAATTACAACAGAAAAACTTGAAAAAAACCTTTGCCCTTATTTTTGCCATTTTTCCAAGTTGTAAACTGTAATCTGCTTTAAAACACCACACTTTATTTCATTTGGAAATCACCCTGTATAATTACTGTTTTGATAACAGCAGAATAATCACCTACGGACTAATTCACACATAACTGCTTTGACTATCTTAAATGTGTGACGATTTAGAAGTAGAATGATGTGCATTTTCATTTTTCTTAGAAACAAATAAAGTAGGTATACTCGAATTAAAAAAAATTATGCACATACAAAAATCAATATGGAACACTCAAAGTCCCATATTTGATGGTAAATATCTCTGCCTGTCTCTACACACGCATATTATAATAATTATTGTTTATTTACATACTAACTACCATAATAATAGTAACCGGCTTTTTCTCCTAGAGAAAGTTTTTGACATGTACTTTAAATCATATTCAACTACTATTACCACTATTTATAGTATTTCTTATGACTAGAGCGAATCTACTTATTCTTTTATATCGTCGATTGGTTAATATGGCAGGTTATACAGGTCACTGGATAGATACTTAAGGTTATATAATCCATTAGTTTAAGAACAGTAGCTAGCCGCTGTGCACGTAAGCTTACTATGTGTGAATAATAATGTAAACATTATTTGATGGAAAATGGCAACTATTTCGATATTTTTACGCGAATACGTGCTCTCCTGAAAGGTCGCGTTAGAATTTACAATTAGACCACGATTTGAATGGGACAACTACGGTATGGCCTTGAAATTGCAGAGATCTGTCGGGTCGACGACAAAGGGGTATCGCAAGTACCGCGCTTACTAAGATCATTTCTTTCGCACCATGCATGTACCAACACCAACATCTAAAAAAATGAATTAAGCAAGCCGAAGATAACTCTATACAAAATTAAAAGAAATGTTTTGATAGATATATTTTCATATTGTATTAACACACTGGTAATTTTTATGCCATTTTGAGTTATAATAAACTAGCGCGAATACCGTTATCGGTTAGCGATTTTACAAATCTTGTCTTTGTCAAGTTTTTTATTTTGCCACCGTGGCGCTACGAACGAGGTACAATGACACGTAAATTTGATTTGGGAACAAGAGGCAAGTGGCAAAGTTAGTAGTAGCGGTATTTTCGTAGATGCTGATGCTTTTATAAATTGTCTGGGTAAGGCATTTCCTTATTTCATTCATATTAATAACAAAAAATTTATCGCTTACGATAATAATGCGCTAAATAACAAATAGGTAGTAGTATAACTTAAACCATTAACAAATCTAAACAAAAATCCAATTTGGCAGCGCTCAAAATACGAACTAACGATGTATTAAGTCCTAAATGATATTTGATTTTTAACCCAAAACGTAGTTCTCGGTACCTGAATCAGGTACTAAAAATACAGGATTACCATACCATTAGGTGCATGTACCTTAACACAGTGTGGGAGATTCCGGAAACAAGGTATATAAAATATACGGCAGCCTAGTTCAAGAATGCGCTTACTCATCGAAACCAAGCTGTTCTAATCGTTTTGTTTAATATATTAGTCACTATGCTTAGATTTTTTCATATGGTTAGTAATATACCTACAGTTACCTACTCATTGTCTAAAAGGAGTTTATCGCTCATTAGTCAATATTTTTATTAACTTATTCAGCATCATTAAACTATATCCAACAGAATTAATGATATCGTGGTAAGACACGTCATTGTGAAATAGTAAAGATCTGGTCGATACTTCAATATTTATAAATAAACTAATGCGCGCCATTACTGATAATCTGAACATCAAGAATTCTAAATGTAATTGTTTTGTAAATAAGCAATGAATAGAGACAGTGACGTATGTTTTTGTTATTTTTTTACAATCAGTTTACGTCAGAACAGAAATCTGCACCGAAATTTTGGCTGAGTTTCAAAAAGCTGACGAAAGTATTGTCAATATCCGATACGAACCAGAAATAAATTTTGATACCTCCTGAAAATTTAGAAAGGTTAAATTTTAGCCTTACTACTTCAGTAAGTCCTTAATTATCGTACAATGTTTGGACAAAATCGGAAGTGAGTCCAAGGTGGACACAGAATTAAGATTTATTTCAGTAAAACTAATTGGGTATTTATCATTTAATTTTTTAACTTAAACGTGGTTTGAGCTATTTGACATCGCACTGTTAGGATAAATATCTTACTACTATCATACCTACGTATGCCTATGTAGGTATACTTAGAATACTAGGAATTATAAAGTCTGATGCATAAAATGTATGGATTTATTATCGCAGATCATATAAAAAGTTAGAAAATACGCTGCGCCCGATTTCCTAAAATTTCAACATATTAAAGTATTTCCCGGGGTTTTGCATCATCAAATAACTGGTAAATATCAACGGGAAACCAGAATATGCGTCAACAGCGAGCCGAGTAAAATAATAATTATTTAGTGATAATCATAACGTGGACTGGTTTGCTACTCTACAAGTTACAGAGACAGTTGTGTGCGTAGTACGTTTTTCAGTTATTTACTATGAACGCAGTCAAGATTGAATGAACCAACGGAGGTATGTAAAAAATAATAATAAACCGTGCACTGTGTGGCAGATTGCGATTTATTCGGAATCGGTAATCGCTCTTTTAGAGGACAATACGTATCGCGATACCAAAAAGAAAAAGTTTATAACTCGATGTGCACCGCGCGCCTTTATTCAGTCTGTCGCGAGATTTCGACGGAATTGTTTGTATAGTCACTCCACCGTAGAATTCATGGGGCTTGCTAACCTTACGAGCAGTAGAATGCCCAGCAGTCGAACAGTTTTATCTTACAAGAGCCGAATGAAAGTTCAAATTTCGCGCGTTGTCTACAGGGAACTCTGCCGTGTATTTGTCTGCAGTTTTTGCGAAACCGCGGCCGCTTGAGTATCTCACCGCGTGGTGTGCTGAAATTTTGAGTTTTATTAAAAAACGGTGATTTTACCGAAGGAAAAAATGGAAAATGCAACAATTAGTTTATTAACCCACCCGACTGTGCTGACGGCGGTATTTGTGGGTGCCGGAGTGCTGATTTTAGTGTACATTATAAAATTAATCCGCAAAGATGAGGATGTAGTTGTACAAAAAACGAAAAGTAAGATATTTTACCTTATTTCCTGAAAATATAATAACTGCGAAGTGGTTATTTATTCAGTTTAAGTTGCTCATACCGTTAAAAATGCAGATGCCGAGTCCTACATTACGAGGTATCGAAGCACGTGCTTTGTGAGGTTATTTTGGGTAGTGGGCTATGCGTGACGGGGGGGGCGGCTCAGTGCATTCTAGATTACTAAAATCACGCCGGTTAATTAATTTTGTTTTCATTTCATGCTAGTAATTTTTCGTTCGGACGTCTCGTACCAACATGAACGTGACAGAAGAAACGGCGATGTCAAAGTGACGTTTTTGCTAAATTTTCTTTGTTTCGCAGATGAGATACCGTCACATTCCGAGAAAAGAAAGGATGCCACTCATAGCGGGAAAGCAAAAAAAAAGGTAGCTGATAACAGGTGGACTGCGAGGAACGAAAAACAGGCCTTCAGCCACCCTTGGCTTCTGACAACACTGAAGGGACATACTGGCTCAATCTTGGATATGGATTTTAGCAGCAATGGCAAATATTTGACTTCATGCGGTGACGGTGAGTACCCTTATTATTATTGGTTTGCTATAAAATATTCAGTCTCTAAATTATACCCTTCCATTTGCCACTGCTTATTATTTAAAAAGAAAATATATTTTGGCTTTGTTTTTAAACAGTTTAAGGCAAGTTATAAATAATGTTCAATTAAAACACAATGTCGAGATTAATTCGAAAGATAAAAAATCTCTTAAAGACTGGAAAAGCGGTGTGATTGAGATGGCTCCGTGCTAATTCACTGCGTCTCTATACACACGAGTGCTGAAATGTTATTTTTGTGTGCAGAAGATCCAGACCCCGGCGGTTTAGCCAGCGGCGAAAGCTCCAGTTCAAGTTCAGAGTGCAATAAAGAAAGTAGCCGATCTCCTTCAGTGGAACCCAGCCCGAGAACAAAGAAGGGCCTGTCGCGTAGGCAGAGGAAAAATCGTCGCAGGGAACCATCCTCGACAGAAAAACAGAAGAAGACTAGAGCCAAGAAGCTCTCCTCCTCGGAGCCCGACATCAAGAAATGCATGATGGAAGTGAGGCCGCTGAAACAGTTCTCCAAATTCCCGGGAGCCTGCGATATCTTCGAGAAGTTGCTGCGCACATACATGCTCACCCCCGACCAGTTGTTGCTTTATGGCTATCCGGTGGAGACGGTGTACTGCTACGGGTCCGTAATGATTTACAAGAGCCCTAGGGCACCCACCCACACCCTAAACTACAAGAAAACCAAGTTTGACGTCAATGCCAGGGAGTTCGTCCCCAAATACGAATCCAACGACAGCGGGCAGGGTTCCAGCAGTTCTAGCGACTCCGGAGACAGCTTAGACTCTGAAGAATTGGTTAGCGTGTCTGATCACGAGATCTCCCCCCATCACCAACTGCACAAGTCCAGCACATGGCCTATGGCGCATAGCATGCAGTACGAACGCACTTGTGTAAGGTGCGGCGACATCTTCTACACCACCGCCAACAAGTACATCACCCGTGAAAAGTGCACTTACCACTGGGGAAGGCTCAGAGGCGTCTACAGTCCCGGCGATAAGAATCACGGGCAGAAAGAATACAACTGCTGCCGAGGCAAAGAGGGATCTCCGGGTTGTACCAGGGGTCGCGTCCACGTGTGGAACGGCATCATAAGTGGTGCCAATGGACCGTTCGAGGATTATGTGCGTACGCAGCCAGGCAAATGCCACTCGTTAGACGGCACCTACGGAGTTTTTGCGGTAGACTGTGAGATGTGTTACACGGTGCGCGGTCTCGAGTGCACCAAAGTATCGGTGGTGGACGTAGAGGGGCGCGCCATATACGATGCCTTCGTGAAGCCCGAGAATGAAATTGTGGACTACAACACTCGCTTTTCGGGAATTACCGCTAGCCATCTATCGAAACAGGCCAAGCCCCTGCGGCAGGTGCAGAGCGAGTTGCTGCAGATCATCAATGAGAATACAGTGCTCATCGGACACGGGCTGGAAAACGACCTGCGGGCGCTCAAGATAGTGCACTGCAACGTGGTGGACACTGCCCACTCGTTTCCGCACCTGAAGGGGCTGCCTTATAAACGCTCGCTCAAGAACCTGGCGGCCACCGTACTGGATCGGGAGATCCAGTGCGAGGACACTGGCCACGATAGCTACGAGGACGCCTGCACGTGCATGGAACTGATGCTGTGGCGGGTGCGCAAGGACTTCCGGGACTATTTGGAGTCTCGCATCACAATCAAGATTCACCTGTGAGTCTCGTCTCGTGTCGTTCATCGCATCCCGCTTATAATTTATTGAAACGCCTTCATCTCTCCATCCCCCCATCCATGACGTGACGTGCAGTGTGTGTGAATGTGTGTGATATTATAAGGAGAACTGTTGTTAAAATAGATCCCAGCATGTTCCTTGTACAACTCTCTTATTTTAGTGATTTTTAAACTTGAATCTCGTTTTTTTAATTCTTAGGTTAAGAATTACGAGTGATTCTCATGAGATTTTATGTGATAGGTCACAGGAAAGTGGATTTTAATGGTCCCGCGATACAAATGTTTTTTTTGTAATTGGAAAAATTATGCCACGTCACGTTTTCAATGTGCACGTTGAATTCGCACCTCGATATTAAAAGAACTGTGGATATCCTTAACGATTTTTTTATGTAGTTCTATGTAATTGTGTGTAATTTTAACTGGTGACGATTTAACTTTGGCAGTTTGCGAGATTTAAACAAATAATCACGATTTTGGAGTCTGAGACTCGCACGAACATATCACTGAATTCAGTATTCAAAAAAAAACGACAATAACTGTTCTCCCAAACAAAAGTGCTACTCGACTCTTAAAAAGCATTACCTCTTGTTAAATTCTTGTTTTACTTGGTGTTTTTCTCATCACAGGGTGGCCCAAAAAAAAGGAATATTTTTTTTTCGTGTCTTGTGAAAATATGTTAACATATCATGTTTTAAGAGCCCCCTCAAAAAATCAGCTCAAAAAAAATTTTTTTATAGGTCACCCAAGATTTTTAAAAATTTCCAAAATCGTCAAAAATTTAATTTTTTTTTATCATTTTCTAGATTGAAAAAAATCTCGATTCTAAAAATTTCAAATTGATATTTTAATTTCTAAAGGTCACTCATAATTATTTTAACTTTAAAAATATGTACCTAGAATGTTTTCGAGCGACCTCTAAAAATAAATATCGACGAACTAATAATCTTTTTTATTGAATTTGATGAATGTAAACAACTTCAGAAGTGGGATTCGAACCCACGCCCACAGAGTGGACTGCGTTAGAAATAAATTACGAGACACTTAAAAAATTTCTCGAGGCTAAATTTACTACCTCACTGTGATAATTTTTTAAAATTTAAGTGCTTCGTGATTTATTTCTATTCTGTTGTTCATCAAATTCAATAAAAAAAAATTATTAGTTCGTTGATATTAATTTTTTAGAGGTCGCTCAAAAACATAGGTACACTACTTTGAAAGTATAAATAATTATGAGTGACCTTTAGAAATTAAAATATTGATTTGAAAATGATAAAATAACGAGAAAAAAATTCAATTTTTGGCAATTTTGGAATTTTTAAAAATATTGAGCGACCTCTAAAAAAATTTTTTTTTAACTGATTTTTTGAGGGGACTTAAAACATGATAAACTAACATATTTTCACAAGAGACACGAAAAAAAATATTCCTTTTTTTTTGGGCTACCCTAACGTACATGAATTCAACTAGATAAAATTTATGGGACGTAAGGTTATGCTTTTTAAGTCCTCTTAAATTTCAGTTTTTCATTGAAATTTGATAATTTCCCTCCTTTTCCTTGTAAGAATTTAGGAGGTTTAAATTTTTTGAGACTGATTATTTTAAATAGTATTTTGTTGTGCACAAGACGTTCCGATTAGTTACAGGGAGAAACTAATGTTTGCAGACCATCGACTTTATCTCGTCAATGAACTCGATATTTTCACAAACTACACACATCACAAATTTAACATACCTACTTATTTCTTGCAACGGAATTAAAAAAAAATCACGCCTACAAAAATTCTAAATTATACTTTATTGTACTCGCAGTTTTATCGGTACATTGTTTCTTCTTGTAACTGATTAGTTCCACATTTGTTGAAGGGATTCCTAAATAGGTTAAGTTTTAATTGTGAAGTTGTCTGCAACAACCGATTGCAGATTTTACTCATACTTCGTTATGTCGAAACAGCTATTGCCTATTTTAATTCTCGTTTTGAAGTTCCTTTGTTGCATTTTTGTCTTTAGTTTCCGTCGACCGACTTCTATTTTTGTATGAAAAAAATTTTAAAAAAATAACAGTGTCGGGCAAATATTGGCTGTGTTCGCAATGTCAAAGCACACTGGTACGATGTACGTACCATATTTTTTAATAAACTTTTTATAAATACTCCGCTGTGTATTTCTTTTACCTGTTTACCTAACCTTCACCACTCGCAGCGGCTTGACAGAAGTGAAAGTGTTAACGAGAAATTTCCTTTGCGAGCGTTAAGCAATAAGGCAAATAATGTTGAGCAAACTGGTTTCTAAGATGTCCAAATGATATATACAATTGCGATAGTCGCTTAAATACAGGGTGTCCCAGAATAACGTGTACAACGGAAGACCTCGGATTTGTGGACTCAAAATAGGCAGATTTAGGCTTATTCACCTATATCCAAAATCGCTTCCTTTGCCCGCTAGATGGCCTCAAAGTTCGTGCATTTTTTTTGAATTTTGTAAATAACTTGAATTAATCGATTTTGATTATTTTTGGGGTGTGAACTTTTGCATTCAATCTACTAATTTTGGTATTATACAGAGTGTTTTTTAAAACTTACTACTACAAAATTGATCTGTTAATATCTGTTCATAACTTTTTCTCTTTCGGGCAATAATGACAACTATTTTTTAATTGATAGGTTTGTAATTTCAGTTTGATTTTTAAGTCGTACCTGCCAACTCTTAATGAATGTTTATTACGATAAGATATACCACGTTACTTCATTTTTTGATATGGATACAAACACATACGACGAATTAGAGTTATTTACAACTACCTAATTTTATTGAAATAATTCGCAAAAACAATCAAATACAATAAAAAAATTCTAGAGACAAAAGTACTTAACAAAGTTGATGTTATTAAATCTAGTACAACTTTTTATAACTGTTCGAAATGACCATCATTGCTTCTACAATAAAGTTTAATTCGCCGAAGAAAGCTAAAGGACACCCTTTGCCATTCTTAAAAGCTATTTTTTTAAACATGGCATTTTGGATATGCTTCCACAACCCTTAGTATTAGGTGTGGAAGCATACACTGTTGTTTTCAGAGTACCCTAAAGAGTCACAAGGTGTTAAGTCTGGTGAACGTTCAGGCCAGTTAACAGGAACATTATTCCCGCTGCCGATCCATCATCGAGAGAATCTTTGGTTCAGATACTGCCGGACATTTACAGTGAAATGTGGTGAAGAGCCATCATGCATAAACCACATATTAGCTCTGAATCTGCACATCTTCCAATAACTCGAGTTTTACAATAATTCTAAATAAAATTCCCCATTCAGTCTATTGGGTAGAATAACAGGGCCAATAATAATGCTATCAATAATCCCAAACCAAACATTGATACGAAATTCATGCTGATAATGTTTCACTTTGACATGTGGATTTTCTTGAGCATACACATGTTCATTGTGAATATTTATTATTCCGCTTCTGGTAAAACAGAATTGGTAGGTACAATGACTTAAAGATCAAACTGAAATTACAGTCAACCTACAAAATGAGAGTCTACTAGCACTTTGTTAAATGGGTGGCAAGACAATGCATACATTTAAAAAATATTTTTTTGTACCCAAACCGCTCATTTAATCAAAATTCTACAAGAGGCCCAAAAACTTCCAAATGGTATTACCTATCAAATAAAAAATAGTCGTCATTATTGCCCAAAAGAGGAAAAAGTTATGAACGGATATCATCACCATACATCAATTTTGTAGGAGTTCTAAATTTTAAAAAACACTATAATACCAAATATGTAGATTGAACAAAAGTCCACACCTCAAAAATAATCACAATCGAATAACACGTATTCAAGTTATTTACAAAATTCAAAAAATTTTCGTGAACACATTATTCTGGGACACCCTGTATATCAAACATCGAAGTGTAATGCCTACCATGAGAATAAGTGAATAAGTATTTATTAAATATAAAGGTAATCTGGTAACTAGGTAAATTCAAATATAATAAGCAAACAAGTTGAATAACAATATAGTGATAAAACGTTAAACATACATAAACATTACATAACTCTGGTTATGCCCACTACATGTTCTTGAAAACTCGCTGAATATTATTTTTCAAAAGTTTTAGCTTCACAGATTTCACTAACAATACTTTTTTCCGATAGTCACATGAAATAATTCTCACTTATTTAAACTAAATGACTTATTTCAATGAAAAATGATGGTTTATTATAGTCCTAAGTAATTTAACCGTAGACTTTATCCCTAAAAGGTTGGACGTACAGATTCGAAATTTTCGTAAACGGATTCAAACATTAGAAACATTAGTACCTAGGTACTAAAGAAAAGTTATTAGGGTTAGGACGTTTTTACAAACTGACTGTATTCAGATTTAACAAATAATATAATTTCTACCTACATCACCAAAATTTGAAGAAATGTAATTTTTTATTCTTATTCTATCAATTATCACGGAAACACGCTTTCAATTTAATTGTTAATTCACGTAACTAGCATATTAAAGTTAAACTCACACTTCGCGTATACGCCAATTTATGGGTGATTCCTGGAAAGTTACACAAGCTGACAACCGTGTAAAATAATTGGGGTAGGTTCAGCATTATTAGTAAACAATAATCAGTTCAGAGTACTTACAAAATCATCGAAATTTAAACCTACACAAAACAGATAATGGCATTCATGTACAACAATTTATACATGTTTTTTAGGTAGCAAAACTTTGTTCATTTGACAAGGTATAATAGCTTTATTATAATTTGTTCAGTCGAACCACGATTTCACAAGTGAACTTTCACTTTTTAACAGCAGAGAAAAAGATCGTGGGTGCGGTGCATTGATATATGCGCTATTTCTCCGCTTTCTTTAACCGGTTAAAATCTCGTTAGTAGGTCACTTAGCCCAGTCTGTGTATTGTGATTCAGAGTCACGAGACAACATTCTAACATGACGATGTATTATGATTCTGAAATTAAATTAAAATTCATTTGTCGCCCTCTCCCAGCAGCCATTAGATCACCAGATCTGAATCTTTGACCTCTAGATTTATTATCTTGTTTTTACCCATTATTTTTAAAAATTTGAAGAGAAAATGACTGTGACCATTGGCTGGTATGGTGTGCGCAACCATTTTTTACAGTTTTCCTCTCCAGTCGAGCATCGCAGTTTCCACTGAAGACACATTTTTAGATTTGCGTAAAAGCTGGATACCATGAGACGAGTGAAAGTAGAAAGTCCGCCAAATAAAGTCTATTTATAGCCGACTCGCAAGCGATCCTTGTAATTCGTAAATTGCATTTAGCAAATAAGCAAAATAAACGTATTTTTAACGCCAACGTCCATCGCACTTTCTTTCGATACCGTACCCGTTAAGAAAGCAGAATTCAACAACCTCTTAATGGCGTGTATCCGCTCCTAATTGATTTCTAGATAACGATTAACTACAGTTACAACGGTTCTTGTGGGAGAATCGAACGAGAATACACATTTATAGAAACGGTCACACGAGTTCTTTGTCACATAAAACAAAATTTCTTTCCTTATGTACGAGGTGTCCAAATAAGAAAGACGTCGGTCGTATCAAGGAAAACATTAAGTATCTATACTTATTTTTTTGCTGGGTAGGTGTACCTACTCAAAAGTATACAAGGGAGGGTAGAAAATGAAAAAATAATTGTGGATTTTTTAATAAA